AGCAGCGCATTCTGGAGTCAGGCGACGATTATACTGTCTGGTGCGCATGTCAAGGGTTTTTTCGATGGTGGTCGCCTCGGATACAAATTCTTGGACGGTGTTTGGTGGATTCCTCATTAGTCCCGCGAAGAGCTCCTGTTTGACCCCTCGCATGAGGAAGCGAACTTTCTTCTCCTCAGGCATGTCTGGGTCAGCGTGACGAAATAGGCGGGTCATCTCCTCTGTGAAGATTCCAACCTTCTCATTCGGTAGCTGAACCCGGGTCTCTAGTTGAGCAGCGGCCCTTTCTTTGCGAGCGACGCTCGCGAACGTTTGCAGAAATGCGCCGCAGAAGACATCCCACGTTCGGAGCGTGGACTCACGATTCTCTAGCCAGGTCCTTGCGGTGTCTTCCAGGTAGAAGTACACACGCCGGAGCTTTTCTTCGTTGTCCCAGTGGTTGAGGGCGGCCACACGGTCGTATGTTTCTAACCAGGACTCCGGGTCTTCGAACGATGACCCATGGAAAATTGGTGGTTCCCTGGGTTGATGCATGACCATCGTGGGCAGAGATGCGGCGGTTGTCATTGTCGCTGCAGTCGCGGTCATGGCCTTGGTCTTCCGCGCCTTGTCTTCTAGAATCCCGTACTCCGGTGGTAGCCCTTGCTGTCGGCGGCTTGTTCGCTGCTCCTGGTTGGCGTCGGCGTCTTCTCCGCGACGTGGGCTGGGTTCACGGCTTGACGGGGGCGTGCGGTACATGAACGAAGCAGCACCTCCACCAGATGTCACGGGGTCGTGACGTGGCCGAAGACAGGAGACTTCGTGTTAGGATTGAACTGTTTATTTGGGCGAACCTGTGCCCGGTAAACTGAAAGTCCAATTACAGCAGCAGTCTCGCACAGATAGCAGTCTCGGACTGATAGCGGCGAACGGAGCGTCGGCCTTCGATCAACAACTGACAAGCGGCGAAGCGCGTCGGCATTTATACTCTTGCCGTCGAATGTTCTAGCGTTATCGCTGGCGGTGGCGTAGCTTCCAGAACAATCTGTACCGTTCGCACAGTGGGCGTGATCTTATCGAAATGATCTACTACAGTCCGGAACCTTCTAGAAAACTGCAGGCGCGGTTTGCGCTGAGAATCGTGCGGTGTTTTCGGACGATAATAAAAACTTTGGAAATGGAACGTGGCAGTATGCTGATTTCAAATACATAATTAGTTTTCTTGCAAGTTGCATTACTTTCAGCTCTGCAACATGACAAAGTGAAAACCTTAACCTTTTTGCCGCCCTCTTTTCTACTTCCATAATTTTTTACTATTCATAGTTCATAATGTTTCAGATAAAGTGTAGAATGCAAATAACTATTTAGGGAGCATATACAAAATATGTAATAGGTGTGAAAAATAATAGATGTAAAAATAGACGAAAAGATATTACATAATGAAATATTGAAGTTTAAACTAAATAATTGTATTTTTCATACTTAGGAAAAAAGTTCGGCTGAATTTCATGCAGATCCGAGCACTAGAAGTACCCGAAAAAGAAGGGGCACATTGAAAAATTGGGAATTTTTTATTTTGAGAAACACGAGTTTTAAAGTTAAAATTGAGTTTTTATTTTGTAAAAGATGCCATTAATTGCAATGAAATTTGCATACCAAAAAGGACAATTCTTGTAATGGCCACTGGCACTGAAGTCCCCCAGCACCATGAGTTTGTCTCTCTCGGCTTTTTCGAGCCGACTCCTCACAGACATTTTGCTCACAGACAGGATCATGAAATGCTTGCCAAACTTGTTCTGCTCTATCTGGCAGAGCATTGTGTCGACTGCAAGCTAAGAAGATGTTCAATAGGACTTCAAAATCTAAACTAAGACCAGTGTCGAGGGGCACAACAGTGCCGATGCCATTTTGCAGCCACGTTTGCGCCAAATACCGTTTTAAATAATGGCAATGTCGTCCCCTCTAAGTTCCTTCGACTTCGCAAGATTGGCGCTGACGTCATCCATTGCCGCATCACGAACTTTCCGGCTGATGGCTGTGAATGACTTTTGATGCATTGGCTTTTGCAAGCCAACAGCTGCCACAAATCGGACCAGCTGCTCATAGCTCCTACAGAGCGCGCCGCCACGATGGCTTTCACGGCGCAAGCAATGACTTTTTTCATTCATAACGAAGATAAATACACTGAGAAAAGCATTGCTCAGCTGCGCTACTCGTCAAGACAATGGCCAACAGCGGCGCATTATCAGGCGGCAAGGTGCTCGAAGAGTGCACACTTTCAGCCTTTTAACAGGCACCTCGTAGTCTTCAGATGCAATTTTAAAGCATTTCCAGTTAAGTAGAGGTACTAACAGTAGAGGTACTAATCTTATCAAAACATGCAAGAATAAAAAAATGGGTAATATTGGAAGAAAACTCGCATTTGCGACCCGCATATCCCCTTAATTTAAAGTCATGTAAGTTGGTCCAATTTTGCATTCCTAGCAGGAGCTATATGAATGCCAGTCAAATGATAACTATGCAGATGTTGTTCATCAGTTTTAACTTCACTTATCAGTTTGTTTTCAATGATTTGAATTTACATGCACTGCAAAATCTTGAGCAAGCACCCCTACCGAGGAAGTGCCCCCTTCCATTTTTTTGGGGCAGATTTGAATATGCGCCCATGATTGAGCAAGCACTGATAAATCCCATTCCGCAATTTTTTTCAACCTGTTCTCTGCTACAGAATCCTGCAGCAGCGGTTTCTAGGAACCTAAGTTCTGAGAGTCTTTATCTTTGTGCACGACTACTTAGTGCTCTCACATCGGCATACCTTGGGGTCGCATTCTGGGTTGTCACAAATTGTCAAAACATATAAAGAATGTCTTTCTCCCCCTTGTTAAGTTTCAAGAAATTTCACATGAGGACCTATTCCAGTTCAGCAAAAACAGTATTAATGCATGCATACTCAATAAAGCATTTGTTTAGAAGCGCATGTATGTATTTTTTTGTCTGTGATCGAGCAAGTCTCTCCCCCCCCACTCTGCGCCCCGCTTTCTAAATATTGTTGGATTATCTTTCACCGCGGGGAGGAGGTAAAGCACTTGCTTAAAATTTTATGGTATGTCTAGCCCTCAAGTTCTCTTATCCGTGGAATGCAGTCATGTTCACGTTACCAGCAAAAGGTATTTAGTTACCTAAGCCAAAAAAGTAAACCTCAAGGTTACTGTGTAGAGGTAACACTGTTACCTTTCCATTACTGATAAAATACATAATTGATTATATTCCAAATGATACAGTTTATTCAATGAAAACATACTATAGGAACAAAGTGTGCATAACAAATGAAGACGACATTCATCGAGTCTATTCCCTATGTTTTTCAAGGTGTATCATTCTCTCTTCGGAGAGCTTTGCATCTGGTGGTTATATAACCTGTTTTAAGGCCTGCTATATCTTTGGACACGTGTGCGTGAAACCTAAAGACTGCACACCTTCGAGCGATCAGTGCGGCATCATTTATAAGTACGATGCAAGGATCGTGAAGAAAAATAATTACATCGGCGAAACAAGCTGGCCAGGAAGGGTCTGGAAAGAGAAGGGGGCAAACGTCAATCATGCATCGCATTCTTAGACGGAGCTTATTAAACATTGCTGGACAGGGCATAGCTTTGATCTAAATAATGCGGTGACTCTGGCTGATAAATGAAAGTGAAATGGGAGGGGGGTGGGAGGACATTTAGTAACGTGGTTTATTTGCAATGATGCACTGGCTTGCAAGAGCAGCAGTGGCTCACCGCCTTATGTTTGTAGGGACATGTGTGACTGATAGACTGATTGATGTCTGCTAATTTTTTTCTCTTATTTTTTTGCTGCAAGTGTATACTAAAGATGCAACCTGCATAAGAGGCTTAACGTTGTCATGTTCATAATTGCATCAAATCAGAGTAGACCTTTGACACTAAGTTATGAAGAAGTTTTAAAGCACACCAGTCACAACAGTGCTGGCTTTCAGTAATTTTGTGCTGCTGTTTTCTAGCCACCTGTCAAATGCGTTCAGCTTGGTGCTTCGGATGAAGGAATGTTCCACCAGCACAGCATAAACAGAGCTTGATGCCCAAGTGAGAAAAAGGGTATATAACACTATCTAGACTAGCTAAGGCCTCTCCACATTTCCTTCTCACAGCACCTACATCACCACACCATGATGGAGTTTCTTTCCCAGCGCTTTGTGGAAATTATAGAAAGCATGAATGAATGGATTAGCATTGTGCCGTAAGTACACAAACAAAAGCAATGATGGGCATTTCTAAAAAGGTGTCCTTCACGCCCGTGATATTGTGATGACATTGCCAAAGGAGTTGAGAGGCCTCAGCTGGTCTAGAGGGCGTTGATATATGCCTGCCTCAAAAAAGGGGCCGTGAACTTAGCATATTGTTCAGTAGTAACGTGATTGATTTACGACATGTAGTTTACAAGTAAATTTTGAACACATTCTTCTGCAGGTAAGATATTTCTCTTAGTGGCTTCTTTTCCAAAACTGTGAGGGGAGCCCTATTCTGTACAGTTGGAAGGTGGGGAGGGTATAAAGAAGAAAGCTAGAAAAAGTGAACAGCATTGGCTTTTAATGAGTGTTGCTGTTCGATAATTTTTTTATACAAACTGAAGTAACTGTAGCAGTATTTTCTGTTGCATTTATGTTGTAAAAAAGTAAGTCACAATCACAAGTTTCTCTCATTTAAGAGTAACTAATTAGAGTTACAAGTTGCAGACAAAAGTAGTTATTGCTACCAGTAATGTTACTATAGTAACCCCTTACTGCCCAAGACCGGTAGAGTGACGAACTCTAGTGTTTGAGGCTACTAGTCGTAGCGAATTAAGTGCAACATGATGGGCTACCTTTCAGTCTTGCCCTATTTCATTATAGTACTACTTAAACAGTGCCACAGGGTAAGACGAAAACATGAGAAAGGAACACAAAACACCTATTTCATTAATAGTGCTTTATCCTTTTGTCCTTCTCTCTTTGTATGGTGCAGATAGTGAAGAAGTTCATCGAGAAGCAGCAGGAACACATGCAGAAAGTGTACCCTGGTGTGCCCTGCTTCAAGGAGGGCGTCAGGGAGATCCCTCTCGAGAGTATTCCAGGCCTCCGTAAGCACTTTTTTTATTACTATTTCATCCTCTTTTTTTTTTTACTCTTGTAGTACTGCTTTCCTTTCTTAAGGTATCCAAAGGGTACATTAGGCATGTGCAGATCTTATTTATTTACATTGGTCCTCGTCACTGATACACATATAGCTGTTTCCTTATCAGTACATCAATTTTGATTGCATATCGTCAATGCTAGGGCACCTGTGCCAAATTTTAGTGAAACCTGTGTCTTGTGCCCTAATGGAACGAAAAATGTTAGGGGTGACCTTAAAAGACAGCAAGACAGCAGAGTGGGTCAGAGGATAAACTGGGGTTGTCAGCATCTTACTTGATACTGAAAGAAAAAAAAAATGGACTTGGACAGTCAACTTCATGAGGACAGATAACAGGTGGTCAGTTAGAGCATTTCAATGGATTTGAAGAGATGAAAAGTGGGGCTGTGTTCAGCAAATGGTTAGGTGGAACGGTGAAATTTGCAGGCACAAAATAGAATCGGCATATGTGTACGCCTTTCCATGGCTGTAAGCGAACAGCGCGCACTATACCATCGCGAAGGCTTGTCGCTGTTCGGGTTTCATGTGACGCCGATAGTACAAGCATCGCATACTGTTCAAGCCTTTGAAATCGGCTTTGCTGCAATAAGGAAATGCAGTGATGCATGTTTGCCATGCAGTGAAGGGGCCATCATATTGTGCACTACGATATGGTGCGTAACTCTACACACTGCACTCCACGTGCTGTGCGTCATCATTCGATGTGATATTTTGTCCTCGCAGTGTGGCAAATGATGAGCATGTGCAGCTGTTGAAGTTGTGTGAATAAATATACGGACCTCTTGTTTATTTAATTAACAGGTGGTGATTATTGTGGGCAAAACATATGTGGCCACATTTCGGTTCTATCACTGCACCTAGGGTCACTTGAATGCAAGGCATACTTTCTATGTGGAACTAACTTTAGGTAGAAAAGACTGCTTGCTGTCAATGGCATGATGTTGGACATGACCTTCTCGAGCACTGATTGTGACCTTAAATTCATTTTTGGGTTATATTTTTTCTCTGTCTGGGTCCAGACAACTTATTACTTGAAAAAGGCTAAAAGTTTCTAGTAAATAGGACTGCAGAAAGAGGAAGACCGATGCTTGCAACTCCTAAATTGATCAGTGAATAAGCAATGGGTATTTATGTTCCGGGTTAATTGTTGAATGTTACATAGACAACTGAGTGTCTAATTTTAGTTATTGTTAGGTGCAGGTTGACACACTTTTCAGCACACTGGTGCTAATCAATTTCTTTTTGTTTGTAGGAGAAGCAGGCTGGAAACCGGACAAGAAATAGTAAGTAAACTGATCACGTTGTACGTACTTGTAATTTGATTATAGACTTTTAATGCTGCCCACTAGGCCCTAGTGATGATTGTGGGCAAGAAAAATGATTGTTCTCTTTGTAGTACAGTCACACTAATGACAGAAAACTCCACATTGGGCACAAAAGCTATTCCCTAGTACTTGCATCTGAGCAATTATTAGTTATGTACTACATGCAGCTGGGAACTTGTGCAGGTGTAAACACCATCCTTGTGTATGAAACAAACAGGCCTTTCAAGCTTAAGAGGAGATGCTACTCGGAAAATGATTTTCTTTAATAAGAGTCTGAATTGAACACAAATTGGCATGCTAAAAGAGTTTTTTCTCCTCTTTTTAAATATGTCATTTATTTTCATGTAGCTTGTTTGGTTTTATTTCTGCAGCTCTGATACAGCGAAATTATGGCCATTGTTATGCGATAACTTATGACCTATAAAACTTTGAGATAAAGCATGCAGATATAGCTCACTATGATCCTTTGGAACTGTGGAGTGCAGAAAACTACACAAGTTGCATGTGTAAAAAGGTAAAATACAAAAATAAAATGGAAAATCCACTGTGGCTCTAGTTGCCAAGGGCTTTCCATGCTATGTAATATTTTGAAAAACACAACTAAGCAGCATTGGAAATAAAAATAGATACTTGCACTCTACACGCCTTCATCATGCTATGTGCAAAATTTCGTAGAGTTCTTACAATTCTAAGTATACTAGCTAGCGTGCATAAGCAGCACAGATCACACAATACTGCAAAAGGATAAAAATGCATTTGAAAGTTTGAAACATTTTCTTTTATCATAGAGTTGTCAGAAATGCATAATCTTTCGCCATAATGTTCAAGAGAACTTTGAGAAGCACTGCAAGTCATTAGAACTGTCCTGCAGCATAGGTTGTGCCTTCACGGTCCTTGCGAGCACACTCTTCGAGCCGTGCCCTTTTTACTCCACGACGACGGTGCACCCTTGCTTTTGCTGTCAAACGCCCGGACATCCTCTTGATGCGCTTCGCATTGCAGGAATCGCTGAAAGCAACTAGATCTCTAGATGGGAGTATGTTCAGCTCTTTTAGGGTGTGCTCGAAACTAGCATGACCCTTAATGAACCACAGGATTGCGATAGCTGCGGCAGTCTCGACAATTGTTCAGGAGACAAGCTTGGTCTTGGGGCAAAGTAGCCATGTCTCGCTGTTCAGGGATTCCGACGCATTTTGGTTTTTCCCTTGAATGCATCGAGCAAGGAGCTTCTCATCTGTCAGTCGCTTATCAATTGGCAGAACAGCCAATCCCTGGGCTTTCGTCAGAAGAGGTGTGTGGCGTGGTGCAGGTTTGCCAAGTGCTTCAGCCCGTTTATGTTTGCACCACTAGTCTGTTCCTGCAGGGCAAAAGTTGTGACTGCCAGCATTGTCTGTAGAGCATGAGTGAAAGTATGAAGCTCATACTGCAGTGTACATATCTCGTAGACTCTCTCTGTTGCTTGCTTGTTATGGCAATCTGGTAATGCGTTTGAAGCTTCCGAGTGACCGGCTCTTTCATTTTCTGCCCTCGTGGTAATGGCACATGAAGCTTTCGTAGCACAGTGCCAAGTCTTTTGGCCACATGCTTAGTGCAGTCTTCTTTTTTTGTATTGAAAGCCCCCATAGACTTTTGACTTTGCAACTGCGCTACAGTCAACTGCCGATTTTTCGGACCCTCTAGGAAGCGAAAAACCGTCCGAAATTTCTAGCAGTCCGAAAAAATGAATGCAGGCAAAAAAGAAAACGCATTATTTTACTGATAATTTTCAATGCAAGCAAAAAAAAATAGCATCATTTTGCTAATATTCTCAATGCGAGCAAAAAACGCATCATTATATTGATATTTCTCAGGTCAAGAGGGTCAAGGTCGAAGTACCAGACTTCCGGCACTCTGCCAAAGCATCAGTGGGGTGGCTCTGAAAAGAGCCGTTAGAAAAAAATGCATGCGGCCGACAGCCGGTGCCGTCAGAGCAGCTGGTGTTAGAGCTGCAGTGGCTTGAAAAACTTGCTGATTCTTCTTTGAACGGCGTTTCGCTTGCATGTGATCACATTCGCCTCGATCTGAGCAAGGGTCATGTCATCACTGTACACCGATGAAAGCTTCATCAATGCTCGCATCAATTCGGTGGTCGTAGGTGGCGCAGGCGTTGGTTCCTCTTTTTCGACATCGGAGTCGTCTGAATCCGCCATAACCTGACTGACTATTTCGTCGTCGGTTAGCTCTGCGCAGAATTCGAGCTCGTTGTCAGCGTTGACGGTACTGTTTTTCGCGCTTCGATGCCATCGGCGAGGACGACGAAGGCGGAGTGGGTGCCATCGCAGGCAAGCGAAGTCTTCACGATGTGAACAGAGGAGTTTGCTGACGAGCGTTGAAGCACCTAGGCTTAGTGTTGCAGAGCACACTTCACACGATCGCACAACCACGCACTAGGCTAGCCAAACACCATGTGGGCTGCGTAAACAAAACGGCGCGACGGCAGGCGACGGTGCCTCGGGTACACCGGAGGTGGCGCTGGTAAACATTCAAGATAGCCAGCATGGCCACACCAAATCATTGTGTGGCGGTTACGTAGCTCTAGTTTGAAGGGGTGAAACGCTTTGCGAAAGCGCTGCGTGGGAAGCCAGAGTGGCACGCACGAGCACAAGCGCTAAAGCAAAAGGAACTTTGTTGGCACCAAAAAACTTCCGGGTGGATAGTTTCGATTGTCAGCGAAGCACCCTTGCACGAAAAACACGGCCAGTGTTAGGAATCTCGGAGGCCGTGTGGGTTTCTCCGCTAACGATCAACGAGTCCAAGCAACAGATGCCGCCACAGTAGACCGGCGCGCTCATTTATGCGATTGTAATCGCATGCGACGCAGTTGTGGTGGTTTCTACTGGAGGTCAGTGGTGGTTTCCGACCTTCCGTCGCATCAAAAACTCCGGAAAAATTGGACTCCGGGGGGTACGAGCGTCCGAAATTTTAGACTTCCTTATACATTGACTCTATGGGGCTCGTGGCGGTGCCGCGAAGATGTCCGAATTATCGGGCATGTCCGAAAATTCGGGTGTCCGAAAAATCGGCAGTTGACTGTATATGCTTTGCTGTCACCATCACTCAAGAACTTTATAAAACAATGGAGTTTCGTAACTCAACGTTCTCTGCCAAATGTGCATTGCAGCCTCTGTTTCCATGGCATGGGAGGAACAGTCTGCATTTTTTTCACAGACTGGTTCATGGAATGCCTGCCAAACTTTCTCGTCAGGGCCCATATCCTTGTGTCTACTACTGCATGTCAGGCATAAATTTGAAATGACCTCAAAGTTTAAGCAGAGGCCAGTGTCTAAGGAGATAGCTGTGCCAATACAGTTGTGGCTTTTGTGGCCCCTCTTCTGCCAAGTCCCATCGAACATGACAGCCACACTAGTATCACCTCCCACTTCTTTTGTCAGTTGTCTCGATTGGAGCAAGTTTTCACTCACAGCTTTCATGGCAGCAATGTGCTCTTTCTTGGCTATTGAAAAAAATCCTCAGTGGTGCATTGGCTTTGCAAGTCCAATGATTGAGCAACACTGTCGTTGCACAAACCTCACTGCACAGTCTTTTGTCTTTATCGAAGAAGCCGATTTTTTTTTTGAGGCACTGACGAAAAAAAGCGCAGCGTCGATCCTTTCATCGCAGCCACTGCCGCTCGCGCACTCGTCGATGCTGCCGCTAGGCCTAGCACACGTAGGCCGATTCTCTTTCATCGTTGTTGTTCGATGCTGTTTGCGCTGCTCTCCCTGAACTTGTGCTTCGTTCGGAACTTCTGCGATCTCTCGTTGCACTTTTTCGGGCTTGTCATTGTGAAAATATGCGTAGACGCGCAGATAAGCAGACAGACCAAATGTTGATGGCCGTCGCTGCATCGCCGACACTGACTCGGTAGCCAATGGCGATGCGGCTGACAGTGCCGCGCTTTTCAAATCGCTCAAACCATGAGGTAAAAAGCTTTGTTTTTTATATTTTCTTGCTCAAGTACGAAACTGGTGGTCATCGGAGCTGTAAGAAGAAGGCCGAACGCAACTTTCCTAACTGGTCGCTATGCCGGGTGGCGCTGCATCGGGGTGCAGCACGCATTCAAATGTGGCCAATATTAGCGGAAATTTGCAAAATTTAGAGCTACCGCGATGCCTTTATACACATTATTTTGCATTTTTCTGTTCGACTTTTGTTTTGAAAGTTTCACAGATGATAGAAGAAGGGTTGAGGATTACAATTCAGTAAAAACCAGAAATACAAGAAATTTTGCTAAAGATGCGATTTTTCGACTCGCATCTCCTCTTAAGAAGTGGAGTCACAATATCGAATTCCGTGAAACTTTGCGGTAGTGAATGGCAGCAGTGTGCGTGAGCCATATGTGTGTGCAGTGTACCAAAATGTCACACACACGTATATTATACTGAATTTTAATCCATGATATGTATCATCCTTGAGATTCAGTACACTGTTTGACAGTATCTGCCAGAACAGTGCCTTTTCTAATCCTTCAGCACATATGACAAACTGGCGTATGTGTAAGGCCACCTTTGCTTTATCTAGAAGTGTGTTGATGAGTGTGCCTGTTTTCTGTAGAACTACTCGACGATACCACATGTACTACCCAAATATCTTCACTGTAATCAAAATATGTCAACAAGTGCTATTAACGAAGCCTTATGGAAGTGTTCCTATATTCACCTACATTGATAATCACTGCTGATAGCCAATTATGCTATTTGCTTGTGTTATTACATGTGTGCTTTGATTGTGCAGCTTCATTGTGAAACTCATATTTTCTTACTTTTCTTAGTGTCAAGCAAGAGCAGATGGATCCCGATCAGGCATATCAAGCGATGAAGTCTGTGTTGATACAAGTTAAGGTAAATAAAAATTGGTTTTTATTTCAGCAGGGATACAACAGCTGTGCCGATTGCATTAGTTTAATACAATTCCGCATTGTTGTACCGAGCTGCGCCAAAACCATCAAATTTACTGAAATTGCGCCATGCTGCGCGAAGTGCGCGACTAGCCTCAAAATTATCTCAAGTGCGGTAACTTCAGCAAGAAATAGAGGCTACATTGGTCACCTGCGATTTGTGTCATCAATCAAACTAAGCATGCAGATTCTAACCCTAAATCACTGTGTAAGTGATGCACTCAGTTAGGTGAGGACACTCGCGAAATGCAATCGACCAGGTAAAGTATAAGATAGAAGTAAGAATGCCGCGTGCCTATCGGTTCGCTGACCACATTGGATGCCGAACTTAAAGCAAAAAAAAAGTGTTGTCATAGCTGGCTACCAACGCTACAGGGAAAATATGAGTTTCCTATAGTAATAAAATGCGGGTATGGCATGTTAGGAACATATCCAGCGTTTTCTGGATGCAAAAAGGTTGACGTGCTGCAAATGCCGTCATTGCCAGCCACTATGTTAGTTGTCATAGCAGCGGTACATAAAACATTTTTCTGGCTTGAAATTACATTGTTTTGGTGATAGATACCCGGCGCTGTCTCTGGACCGACGGGCGCGCACTGTTGTTACTTGATCTGGTTGAACGCGCCTTGCAAGCGAGCCGAGTAGTTGTGCGCTAAACCTAATCCCACCATGAAATAAAGCAAAGTGGGGGTGCGGTTGGAGGGGGGGGGGGAGGTAGCCGTTTTAACATTGCTTGGCCTTGGTCTAATCTGCTTAAATGCTTAAGCAGCGCCGTTTTAAGTGAGTTTCGCCACAGTACATCAGTGTCCCGCAGTAAAGTGTATTATAATTTGTAAGGGGCTGATGGCGTTAGTCACGGTACGCAGCACATTTTGTTCTATTACTCATATCCGTGTATGCACTGCATAATTGTGAGTACTAGTATGATCGCTGTCATCTAAATAGGTCACTGGCAGTCATTTGGAGTAGCGAATAACATTTCTGCTGCCCTTAAAGAAAAAAAAAAAATTAAATGGGGGAGAGAACTTGTGTGCCAGTTTTTCTATCTATCGCCACCCCTTTTCTCTGATTTCACGAATCTCCCGAATTTTAAGTTCTCCAGCTTGGCAGAGCCACATCTGAATTCACAGACTCTGTCAGAGAATTGGACAGGCGTGGCAAATGCTAAAGTTGACTTCATTATTTGCTCAGTGGGGTAAATCAGGATACTACTTTTATTGAAAAAGCAGTGCTCACATTCACTCTGTATGATTTAACTGGGTTGAATGTTTTCTACATATATATTTTTTTCTGAATGTAAGCTTTCTTGTTAATACTGCTCCAAAGGTGGTCATGAAAAAAATTTTTTCCCCCGTGACCTGCCCCAAATTTAATTAGTGCTCAAAAAGTAGCATTTTGCTGCTTCACAAACTGCTCCAAATTATATTTTGACTGTTGCACTCCTGTTTCAGGCCTTAGAATAAAGTTTGTTTTAGAAGTTTCAGTTACTGCATGAGTTTCTTGTGTTTATTAACTTACGGATTTTTTCATACATTCAGAATCACAGTAGTGCATGGCCCTTTCTGAAGCCAGTGGAAAAATCCGAGGCACCTGACTACTATGATCACATCAAGTATCCGATGGGTGAGTTATGTCAAAGGAATACATAATTATGCTATCAATCATCTAATAAACAGTATGAAGTAGTTTAATAGTTAGCACTTATTTTTTATTACAATTTCTAAAAAAGGATAGCTGACATGAGATAAAACACATAGTTGGCCAGTTTTTGCACACTGGTAACACAGTTGAACCACTTCATAAGAGACATTGAGGTAAGAGGCACCAGTGTGCCTACTGTGACATTGTTAAACGAAAACGTGGTAAGCTGTTCATAAGAGACCCCTCATAGTATGAACAAGAACTGCACCTAGTGCATGTATTTTATGAATGGGCTCGAATGTAGGATTTCAATAAATATGACAGGCTCTCAGCCCATACTGTTGTTTGCCTTCTGTGTGGAATGAACCAACAATGCATCCTGTAACTAGTAAACTGAAGTCTGCTTCCACAGTTTATACAGAAATGCGCCCCAAGTTCTCTGATGGCGGTTGACAGAAGCATTTTTTCTATTTGCAGACTTAAAGACTATGGCAGAAAGACTGAAAAACCACTACTACGTGCACAAGCGGCTGTTTATCGCGGACATGCAGCGGATTTTCAGCAACTGTCGTGCCTACAATAGCCCCGACACAGAGTACTTCAAGTGCGCCAACATTTTGGACCGCTTCTTCCAAATCAAAATGAAGGAGGCGGGTCTTTGGGACAAGTGACAGCACGGCACGCTGCTTGATCGACACAATGAGCTTTAGTTGAGTGCAGTGTCCGAAGCAGGGCTTTACTCGCACTCGTTAGTAACTGACAGGGTATGGAAGCATAGCCTTGTGCAAGCTGTGTATAACTACAAAATGTTTTATATTGCTTCCTTTTGGTTAATTTCAATGTGTTGGTAAGATTTTGTAGCCCTATGTGGCAAAGGTTGAGGGCAACTCATGTTAAGAAACCTGCTATCGCAGATTCATTGCTTGCTTATTGGTCTCCACCGCTTGACTTTTTGTTTGATTAGATCCTACTACAACCTGCAAGTCATATCTGCAATCCATTAGCGTGTTCGACCTTCAGGCGCTGTGTGCCCATGTATTTTAACACTGCTGTGCTTTGTGTACATCTTTGCATAGTAATTTTATTTTCCATTAGATGTATATGCTGCTGTTCATATTGCCGATCGCATTCGTGGCTGATGGCATGAAGTTTGTTAACCGGAGTATCATAATCCAGTGAACATCTTTGTGTCGTGATGATACATTAGTGTAATTATTATTGAATACACTATTTCTGCATTAAGGTTTGCTTGTATAATGATTGCCTTGATTGCCTTTTTTTGTATATTATCTGTTCACCATCTCACTTCATTTGTATCTTTTTTTTCATTGTATAAAACATGTTTGAGTATACCTTTTTTTCTTGTCTTCATACAGATATGTAGCTATTCTTATACATTTGTGCATTAGTTAGTCTGTCTATGCATTTCTTTTATACTGTGCCCGTATTCCTCATGTCACTGAGAGAAAAAAAAAACACATCTTATTTCCTTGATCTTTCCTGATTTTATGAAATTTCCTGAGCTCTCTTGACTCTCACTATTTAATTTGCTCTCTCGTGAAGTTACAGCACGTGAAAGTGGTTATTCCTTTGGCTAATAAATGTCCACTAAGTTGAATAACTGTTTTGTTTTTCTAACGGCATTCAGCTGCATTATTTCGATTGTAGGCTACTCTTATCAAGAACACACCATGGAGTGGGAGCTCGTAATGCTGCAATAGGAACTACGTATAGATAACTGAAATTTTCAATGCCTAATTATAAAGATATTTAAGTAAACTGCGCTATTAGCACTGCAAGTGCTTGTTGTTAAAATGATGCTTTTGTGAGGTGTCTTAGTGCCCCAAATCTTGTCAATATGTCGCTTTCCAGCATGCAGCAGCCAAGACTGCAAAGTTTGTGAGGTTTCTTAGTGCCGGATTGTGCACGAAACGTTTAATCCCATTTTGACCTCAGCTTTACTGCTGAATATCTGTTCATGTGACATCTAGGCAGCCTCAAGCATTGTATACATAATTTAATGTTCATGGAACGCCCTTCCTGTGTGTGTTTTCGTTTTTTTCTTTTTTTGAGTGCGCGTGCATTTTTTTTTTTCCTCTATCTAACCCCTCTTTCTTGCCCCTACTTCCCCACCCCCAGCGCTGGGTAGCAAACCAGATGCCAATATCTGGTTAACCTCCCGGCCTTTCCTTTCTCATTCTCTCTCTCTCTCTCTTAATGTTCATCATGTCGCAAACGGTACATTGGCAAAACAGGACAGTCTGCTAATGTTGGATTAAACGGGCATCGCATGGATGCGGTGAAGAAATTAAGCAAGGGTGCAGCAATTTAGTGTAGCATTTCTGAACATCGACGATCTCAAATCTTGCATCTGGGAAACTTTCGGTCCCTAAGAGACAGAAAATACAGCCATGCGTATTATTTTGCTGTATTTAAACTTCGCCCGCTAAGATTTTCTGCAATCCTCGGCGCTGACTGTGCCACAATATTTCAAAAGCTTTGAGATTGTTTGAAATACTAATTCTGTTAAGATTGTGCGCAGAACGTCAATAGTCCAGAGTATTCGTGAATTTACGTGACAATAGCTATAACGCTGGAATTTTGTGACAGGACGTTTGTTAGATTATCAACGGCCGACGATTTGTTCAGCTGCTATCAGTATGCAGAGTGTATTGTTGTAGTTTGATTCTTCGTTTCCTGGGCACAGGTTTGCCCAAATAATGATTTTTATTTTCCCAGGCACAGGTTCACCCAATAAAGAGTTTCATCTAGAAACGCCAACTGCTGCCTTCATCAACCTCATGACCTTGTAACATCTGATAAAGGGGCTATTTTTTGTCTAGGTTCCGGACGTGCCACGCAAAACCATGGTCCAAGTGCACGTCGTGTACAAGATCTGAAAAACATTCCGGATCATTGAGCTGGCCGCAGGCACCTAGGACTGAAACCACAGTTCGGTCCCCTATCTGACAATACAAGAGCCATAAAACGATGAAGCAAGCCGCCACAGCGACAGCACCTGCGCAACCAATATCAATCCTGCTTCAGCAGCCAAGAGAGCCACTGAAATTGCGGGAGTCATCGTGCGAGGATCTGGAAAGCTGGCTGAAGGTAAAGTTCATAGAAATAATTTTTTTAGAGACTTGAGCTGAAAGCTTATGACCGGGACACTGTCATTAACCATTGGAGTGTTGAAGGACAAGCTGTGGAATGTTTACTAAACCTTAGAAGACGTCGCTAGGACCTGGTTCTAGAACCGAGAGTCCCCTTTAACATCACAGGACATTATCTGAACTAAGTTCACAACTATACCTTCACTAGCCTCATCCACAAAAAGAGGGCCAAAGCTCAACCTGAAACCCTGGTACAGCAGCTCCCCAACGATAACGTCACTTCACGGAGGGGATGGCCTGCATTTTCCGCCACGCAGGTCCTATAGCATGTCCAAGAAGAAGCAAGTGCGCTTTCTCATGCGAGGGGTTACGCACGAGCTTTTTGCGGGGCTGATGCGAAACCCGCCTAAGACCATTCAGGTAGTTCCTCTCGGAAGCAACAAAGATTGAAAGGATGCTGGAAATTCGCACATGGCAATTCGGCGGGCTACGCAGAAGTCGAACAGCTCTGCTTCGACGATCTGCACGAGACAATAGGGGCTTTACACTCTGAATCAGTTTCCTAGTTATAGCCAGTAGTTATCAGGACTTGATTGAGAGTGTAGTGCGGGAAGAAGGTCGTTGAATGCTCGTTAGGTCGTTGAAGCCAGCCGCAAGTTGCCTCGATCGCAGACATTGTTCCAGAGGAAATTTAGCAGTCACTGGGTATTCTCGAGTTAGCGCTGTGAACCGCTGTCGCGGCGGGAGGCAAACCGCTGTCCTGTCCTCCCGCCGCGACAGTGTCAAGACACTGCATGTTCTGTCGCCAGACACCTCTGCCGCCACCATCTACACTGTATCTTTACCAGGGGTCCCAAACTCTGCTCATGCAGTCACGCAGTTTAGTCCCGTAAGTGCCGGGGCAGGGAAGAAGGGGAACATAAAAGCTGGGGGGGCGGTAGTTGGTACAAATTGTTAGCTAAAGTTATGAAAAAACCTTCATACCTTATAGACGGGTCATTTCTAATAGAGATTTGGCGCGCAACATTCCAACATGAGGATACCTGTCCATAAAGTGTCTAATGATCTGAACGCCAATTCTGACGTAGTTTTCGTTTCACGTATGGTTATGGTTCAACACATGATCACCACATGAGGTGCTCCACAAAAACAGTGCTGTGGACCAGTCATGCCTTTGTAGCTGAAAACATACTGTTTTCAGCGCCACTATTTGCTGAAGGTGGTCACGTGATCTAAACGCACTTCCGGTTTTCATCCCGTCGTACTGTTGGCCAGCGCTACGCGCGACACAGAAAACCGGCAGCCGGCTACACTTACCGCCAGACAGGCCTTCGCGGTTTCGCCGTTTACGCACCACAGCCACCGCGTGGTGAGCTGTCACGAGACATCGCCGACTGAATGTGCGTCGCGTTTACTGTCACCTGGACGCTACCGGCCCCAAGGCGACAACAGCAGTACAGCGGACTTAACCAAGGCCATTCGGCGAGTTCATATCCGGAAAACTAAGGGCAGCAACCGATAGAGATGTAATTGCTGTACGACGAACTACCGAAGATGCGCTGCCACCGACGACGGCCTGCGACCAAACTTCGAGAACACAACTCGAACAAGATGGAGCCCTGACAATGAAATTGCGTGACTGAAGAATATCTGACCACGCACCATGGAAGCAGCGGAACTAACTGACGCAACAGTGATCCGACGCCACGACTTAACCGCGACGCAAAACGGCGAAATAGCAGCCTTGACGTTATCAATGGCCACAGCGTCAAGGCTCTCGTCTATACTGGAGCCGGCTATTCTGTCGTCAGTGGGCAGCTCGCCGGTAAAGTTGAAGACAGCTACGACTGCTCAGGAAGCACAAGGTAAGAGATTCAGCCTTGTTGATAAGACATTAGGTTAAAAAAAATTGGCCCCGTATTTGCATGTTACACTGGAAATGGTGTCGGAAGACGACAGTCTTGCGTCTGGAGAGAGTGAACAAAACGTTTATTTGATGTTCTGCGCAAAACAATCGGTGAATGGTATTCTGGAGGCGCTGCGTTAGAGTGCCTCGAGCGCACAGCGGAGGCGAACGAGCGCATCAAGTCACGTCACACGTGAGACGTGAGTGCTATCTGGCAGTTATCTTAGAAAACGAAGCGCCCGGCTCTTAGACGGGCGTGCGCGCCCGTCTCAGAGGTGATAAGGTGTAGAACGCAAGGCGATGAGTAGGTACCACCACCGTATTGTCTTATCAAAGTGATGGAAACATTTGCCTTTTCGTGCAAGCGTTGCATGGTCAGCGCAGCGGGTTAAATGCTACGGTATTTAGAATTACTTATGTATGTCTTTTGTAGTAAAAGAAACACATGCAGAATATTAAAAAAGAAATACATACAGAAACACAAGAATACATACATACAGAATGAAGCCTCAGATATCCGAAGTAATTGCTTTTTAATTGACAATCGCACAAGTATGAACGCTGAATCTTGAGCAATATTTGGTGGGCGCTGCGGATGGGGTCGGCCGTTTGGTGTATCGTCTGGTGCCGATTAGGGTACCACTAAGGGCGGACAAACAGACAAATATACAAACAGACAGACCAAGATTCTTGCGCCGTAGGTCCCCAAGAAAGTCTTTAAAAAACATATATTTTGGTTCAATGTAACATAAGGACGAGAAGGGAGGACGCAACACATGCGCTAACTTTCAACGAAATGCTTTATTGCAACCAAAGCACAAAGACGCTGCAGCGAGATTTCATGCGCACACGGGTTTATTTTTTTCATATACTTTTTATTTGTACAAGATATGCGCAAATCTGAAATTTTCTAATCATGAGCTTTCTTTTTTTTTCTATTACAAGATAAGTGAAAAAACTCGCAGACTAAATGCACGTTCAAAAATTTCAAAACAAACCGCAAACCGAATGCACGCTGATAAAATCCAACAGGGACAGGGATGGCGTGCTTACACAATCGATACTCTACTTTGCGATTTTGGCGGCCCAGATGACCTTAGCGCGGCTGGCGATTGCCTCCGCGACTAAATAAATAGTCCCGCCACGGATCACCTGTCCCCGCAGAATCCCCTACCAGTATCCTGCTCAAGCACGCTGCACGCGGCTATGGTCTTCGAAGGTGGAGCCACCACGCGTCTGGCTTATGACGTCATCTCTGAATGCGTGCCGATTGTTGCAGGCTTGTAGCACCCACCGTGGCGAAAATGCTGCAGACTGCTATCGTTTAACCGAGTATAGCAACAGTTGCTCAACTTTGCTAACTTACTAGGGTAACAACTTACCACTTACTTACCAGGCTTTGCTCAACTTACCAGGGTAACAAAAGAGAGAGAGAGAAAAAAAAAGCTATTGTACATTACTCTTAAAAGGCACAATTCTTCCCTCGAGAAAGCCCAGTGGTTGCTTAGCAAAAAAAAAAAAATGCAGGTGACGACTTGAGCTTGAAGTTTTCGCACTAGCTTGCCGCGACGTCACAGATATTGATGGCTTGTTTCGGGCTAT